AAAACATATGCTGGAATAGTTGGCAGTTCATTCCGCTGTGGCGACTTCTGATAATCAGAGACTAAGCTGAAGAAAAATGAATGAAGAACATAGTAGTGTGGACATGGCAGTTCAGTGTTCTGCAGCAACTAATTGTTACACTACAGTAATTACCTTGTCGCTGAGAAATGCTATTTATATATATTTTTTAATTGCTATTTAATTTACAGTTCTTTACATTACTAAATCCAAAAAGTAGCTTAGACTTGTCAAATTGTTAAATATGTTCTTTGCAAATCAAAATTTCTAATATTGCAATAAATCTTATAGCTGGTTGTCTTGTCTTAAAATGTTCATCTTTTAAATTCCCATACCAAAAACTAATGAAAATAGCATACTGTTACTTTACTTTTGCAATCAACACAAGAATTGGGTGAGCATTAATTGGTTATTTACAGTAATAGACTATGAAATGTTTTAACTGACTAATAAGAATCAATAATTTTAGAGAGATGTGTAATAGCAAAAACAGCAAGCATTATTTCAACTTAATTCAATCAGCTTCTGAAAAGTCCAGATTTATATGACATCTTCCTTTTAAGGAAAAGGTCCTCTGAGAAAAGATCCTAGATGAAATCATCCTTCACCCTGTACCTGCTCATCCTGTCAATCCACAGAGCACTTTGACACTGTAATCATCCCTTTAAACCCACATCCATCACCCTTAAATGAAGTAGACATGCCTACAATGAAGTGTATCGAATTGCTTTCCTCAGCGTTTTCCTTCTTGTCCTGCTAAAACATATCCTGCTTGTTTTTTGTATTTTAATGTAGATGTAAGCTCTATTTGTGAAGGTTTTAGGACTTCAGATTAATTTGCCACTATGGATAAATGACTAGGAATAACAACTGGCAGTAAACGGTCAAACTAATAGCGCTACAAAATTGTGTGTTTATGACAATACATTAAAGTTTTAAGAATATGATAGCAGCATAACAAGCTCGAAAGGCAAAAATTAATGCAATTGAATGCGAACGGATGTCTCATCTCAGTTTTAGTGGCCGTTTTTCTATTATCGCGCCCATGAAGGAGAGAATGTTCAGCGGACTGGCCAGGGCTAGGGCTAATAGCTTTGGAGCTCAAGCAGCAGGGCCAAATGCTGCGTTTTCACTGTAGGGCCAATAGATTGCACCCCACTTTAAAGTACACCCCCCACCTGAATCAAATGTCGCACAACCCGTCCAGTTCAGCGGGATACATAAAGTTAAATCAGAATCACACAGGTGTGTAGTATACTATGTACACAGCCATATTAGAGTGGTATAAATACATCAAATTCTTTAAAAAAAAATATCATGTTGAATCAGGATCCAAATCCCAGCAGTTTTGAGTGGGTAAACACACCATGGCTGCGTCTGAAATCACTCAGTAGGTACTACATTTGAATTTGAATGTACTACTCGACCGTTATGAAAGTACGTTCTATACAGTATGAATGTGATTAGTATGATTGGAATCGCTTCACTACCATTCATAAATTCTCTCATGGCGCATTATGTGATAGCGTACTTTAGAATCTCGCTGGAAGTAGTAGGTCATCCGCGTATTTCTCGCATAGTATTTTCGAATTTCGATGTACTGCTCAGCTCGCATACTGTTTTTAGAGTACTATATAGTATGAAAGTATGCAATTTTTTCAACTGATCAATAATGTCTGTGCTTTCTTTACTTTTGCAACTGCAATAGTAAATTAGTGATGGGTCATTCTTGAGTAATTCGTTCATTTTGATGTGACCCAATACCGATGAGTCCTCTCAGGGAGTGATTCGTTCATTCTCGTATGTGCACATTTGCACAAGAGAAATTAGTTCTCAAAAGAGTCCTCAATCACATTTGAGTCATTCGTTGTCTTTAATGTGAAAGACACAAGTCAATCATATGCAGTCAGAGCCGAAAAACGATTTGATTCATTTATTTCTAGTCCTCGGTTTGTCATCTCTTTACATGCTATCTCGACTCAAAAACCTGAAGACTCAAAAAGTAAATGAATCATGGGTCCTTTCAGCTCAGATTGTGTGCAAGCTTATATGAGACTGTAAGTAGCGATGTTTACATCGACCTATTTTTATGAGCATTTTGGATATGCGCATAAAAACCAGTTGATGAAAACGGCAAGATGTGCATAATTCAATGTGTGCAAGTGGATGGCCTTGTTTCTAGTACTTGGAATGCAACTAAAGGAGTTCCACAGAGTTCAGTATTGGTGCCTCTTTTTTACTATATAATATTGATCAAATATCAAAAATGCAATTTTTCATTATTATGCAGATGATACAGTCATATACACAGCTGCATCTATACCCAATCTGGCCCTTTCTCAACTACAGATCGCTTTTAATGTACTTCAACATGATTTATCTGAGTTAAAACTAGTTTTAAAAGCAGATAAAACAAAACTTATGCTATTTTCAAATTCAAAACAAACCATGCAAAAGCTAGGTCCTATTACTACTCATGGTGCAGATATTGAATTGGTGTCCCAGTACGAATATCTTGGAATTTTAATTGATGATAAACTTTCTTTTAGTTCTAACATTCAGCAATTGGTGAAAAAATTAAAAGTGATTTTAGGCTTCTATTTTAGAATTAAGAACTGCCTTTCTTTTGATGCTAAAAAGAAGCTGGTTTATGCAACATTTATGTCGATATTGGACTTCGGTGATGTTATCTATATTCATGTTTCATCTCAACGCTGCATGCATTGGATACTGTTTACCATGGTGCACTAAGATTTATAACAAATTTTAAATCCCTTACTCATCATTGTGTGCTGTATACTAGGGTAGGTTGGTCTGTTTTGTCCATTCGTAGGCTCAAGCATTGGCATATCCTAGTTTACAAATCTTCATGTTTACTCCCATCATATCTACAGATTTACATTTGTAAAAAGCCTGTTCTTAACTATGGTCTTCGGTTACAGGATGTTTTTTTAATGTCTGTTCCTAAAGTGCGGACTGAAGTGCACCTTTTGCATGCAATAATCTGCAAACACAATTGCAGTTCAAAGAATTGATTTCACTAAATGTTTTTAAAAAGACTATAAAAGATTTAGAAGTTTAAACAGGTTTGTAGATGTTTTAAATAGTTTCTCAGTGTGATTCATGTTAATTGTTTTTTGTTTGTTGTCTGTTGTCTGTTAGACCCAGGTGTCATGTATACTGCCGAATCTTGGCCAAGTCACTCTTGTAAAAAAAAGATTTTTAATCTCAATGTTACTTTCCTGGTAAAATAAAGGTAATAATAGTAATAATAAGTTTTGCAAATGCGTATAAAAAATGTATCCGCATAACTGAGTAGGATAAATTTCTTATTCAATAAGAAAATATGTGCATAAACTAAGATGGAAACACTTTTACCAAACAAATTCCAGTATGTGCGGTCATGTGATTTTGTTATATGAGATTAAGAGATGATAAAAATGTGTGTGAATGGACAAAACAGCAGGCTGACCACATTGTAAAACATCTGAAATTAAAGTTTTGGTCATTCTAAAACTCCTTAACCATTTCAGTATTAGTGTTATAATATTATTAATTATCTCCAGAATCAAGAGTGTCTGTGCTTCGCGTCTTATGCCTTTAAACACCACCAATCTTTCATTACGTGTCAGCATTGTCGTCTGAGGCGCAGGTCATTTATTAAATAAGGAAAAGATTCACGCAGCTTCTCCTACTAAAGCAGTTAGTTTTTACTGTTGATATTTGGTGCCAGTTAACCAGGAATTGGCGAGTTTCTTTGCTTTGACTCGGATGGAAACGCTGCTTTATTCGCACATCTTTAATGCGATATTCCAATTTTGCACATAAATTCAATTAGCTTTTTTGGATGGAAACATAGATAGTGTCACGTGAACGAACGGTTCGAATTTAAAGACATGTCAGTTCATGGACAAAATACCCAGGTAACAATGAATGATTATTTTCTCTTTCTTATAGCATTCTAATCATGACTTGTAGCATGAACAACATTTGGGCTGGTTGTAGATGCGTTTTGAAGCAACTCATAACATTTAAATAATATTTTGACAAATTGAACAAAATGACATCTCGATGAACAAGACTTAAAAGGTCTGAGTCAGTAAAATGATTCGAACGTTCCATCACTATAGTAAATGGGCATCTTACTGCAGACCCTCTTTACCTGACTCATTCTTGGCTTTCACCTTTTCACTTGGCTTTAACTCAAAGTAATCAGTGCCAACTGGCCTAAAAAAAGACCAGCATTTGGCTCCAAGGAAGCCCTGGAATACACTGATCAGGTCCTGGAAGTTATTGTGTTTTTTATGCATGACATTAGAACCACGGCTAATGGAAGCACCCTCTCCTACATGAAAAACAAGGTGAATAAAGCAGTGGTTTGTGCTGATTCTAGCAGAGATGTGCGCCAAAAGCCATGCTATGGAAAAAGACTTCCTGCTGAGCTGGCTTTAGTTTGTGACCTGAAGAAGATTTTAGATATGAGCTATGATGCAGGTACACTCACTTACACACACGTATGTTATGGGACTGTGCCCCTCATACATTAACGATTGCATATTACCAATGGAAAATATATATTTCATCGAGGATGTGGCGGGTTTTGAATTGAGCTGCTTTGTGTCAAGTGATACAAGCAGAAATTGTATGTATGATTGTAGTTTTTTTCATTCTCTGGCAACCTATGGCTGTAATACATTGTATTGTAGTGTGGCGTATGTAAGCCTGTCATGTTTTTCTCATATGCTTGATGAATGTGAGGATGTTGCTCCAATCATAATTGATTTCTAATTAGTATGTTGATTCTAATGAGAGTCACTCCTAATCAATCTGATATCTCAATCTCTTCATGAAGCTCTCAAACTTCCTTCAATTTCTCCATCACTCACAGACAACGACACTGATGATTAGCAGGACTAGCAGCTTCCGTCTGTAGACTGATTCATTTCCTAGAGATGAATTGTTTGGAAGATTGTTTAACTCACAGGAAGTTGTTTCTCCAAGCAGTTGCTGAAGTTCTTGGTCTGGTTGGGTTTGAGTTTCTTTAGGGGGATGCGGGTTTCGCCGATGAATTCGTTGTGGCGGAATTTGTCCTCGTCACACACTGAAATCCTAAATAAAAACAAAAACATTGATTGGATCAGGGCGCGTATTAACGGAACATTTTATTTTACACTGTAAAAAATACCCGTAAATTAGCAGTTTTTCATATTTAGGGATTCATGTTTTTATTTTCCCCCTTTTTTTATGCTTTTGAATCACATTATGAGACCTTGATAATTCTTCTGACAACCTTTAACCTTAAAACTTGGAAAAAGTGACTTTTATTAACATGTTCTAATTGTTTAAAATGATATATTGTCTGTGTTGGTATTGTACATAACAGTACAAAACCTTGTAATAAGCTGGCAGTACATTTCTTGTTATTTTACAGATTTAGTTCTGTATATATATATATATATATAACATTGTATTACTTCAAACTATTAAAATGTCAATAAAAGTCACTGTTAAACTGTAGAGTTAAATTTTCAACATACAATGATTACAGAGCAAAGATTATGGTTCCATAATGTAATTCATAACCGTAAATAAACGTAAAACAAAAAATACGTAAACTGGTAATAAGCAGATATTTTGTACAGTGGTCCACTAAGAGTAAAACTATTTTAGCTCAGCATTTTCTCTTAAAACCTTTTCATAAAACTGCGGAGACAAACTTTTACTAAACAACAGAGATGTCTTAGGCTAAGACAAAGTCCCTTGTCAAATCCAGTTCCTGAAGGGCCGCAGCTCTGCATAGTTTAGTTCTAACCCTGCTTCAACACACTTGGGCACTCTGGGGCAGTATGCTCGGGAATTCTGCCAAGCTTACGATTGATTTCATATTAGGAATCGCCAATAAAATTTAACAACTGACCCTTTAGTTTGATTTCTAAATATGCAAATCACACAAAATCTGCAAACTCATGTCTAGTCTGAGCCCCTCCCCCAGAGTATCATCAGTCTATATCGGTCGATGATTGGCTCCTGTACTAGAAGGTGGGTTTTATTTGCTATATTGGCAGTTACAATTTTTCCCATTCAAAAAGATACTACTGACAACAAGTCTTGTGTATTCTAGAGTCTTTGGCTAAGAAGACGCACATGGATGACCTCATTGCTATGAATGATGTCACTAACTAAGCTCACAGTGATTGGCTGATGGGGAGGGGAGGAGTCTCTGTCAAAGGATCATTCACGTGTATAGCACAATATTATAAGGCCACATTCAAATAATAATTTCAAAATACAAATATTGCAACATTTAAATAAAGATGTTAAAGTGCAGGTTTAGGGGTCAATCACTTTTTGCGTTGAGAGGTGTCTTTTTGTAATGATTTACTAACGGCTGCAAGCATTTTGTTCGCTACTTAAGCATTTTAACCGCCTCCTGCGCCTCACATTTTTGCTGTGTGCTCCCAGCTAAAAAATGTCAACTCTGAGCAGAAAGCGTGTTACGTCAGTCTCGTCTTTTTCATTTTCCAATCAAATGAAAGCAGACGCGGGGTTTCCATTAAGGTGACAGCAATGTTTGTGTTGTCAAGACGACTACGGAGACTTTTGTAGATAGAGGAAAGACAAGATGTTACTGTTTTGAGTTATCCAGAGCGGTATGACTTCACAAATCTTGAATTTCACAATTTTTATTAAAAATAAAATTACAACAATATCATAAGCAACACTCGCGTACAATAGGCAGCTGATTCAGTCGTTGCAGTCACATAAAAAGTGCTTAGTGACAATGTAAAAGCGCATTCTTGCTTTTAATGTTTTAAACATTAAAGATTTTTTACATGTTAGAATATGTTCCATGATCTTTTCAATGTCAACATAATGTCTTAGAAAATTAAGCTAATATTTTTAAATGCTTTAAAATTATTTTTATAAATATAAAAAATATATATAGAAATGGCCAAAATTTTATTTATAGAACATGTATTAAAAATATTCAAGTATTCATTTATACAAATGTTTTAAAAATATTTTTGGTCTCACTTTATATTAAGTGGCCTTAACTAATATGTACTTACACATGAATTAATAATTTGTTACAATGTACTTATTGTGTAAATACATGTATTTACTGTGTACTTATGCTTGATTCAATACATGTATGTAATTACATCTGTAATTAACTTTTGTAATTACATTTGTAAATACACTGTTGACCATCCCTTACACCTTAACCCACCTTTAAACCTACCCATGCCACCAAACCTGTCCATAACCCAACCTCTATCCCAACTCAAAAGCACCACAAGTGTTCTCAAATACATTATAAACACAGTAAGTACATTGTATTTATTTTTTGATGTAAGTACATAGTAGTTTAGGACACTTAATATAAAGTTGGACCATATTTTTATAATACTTTCCCAGGCCGAATGTCAGCAACATGCAATTTAGGAATGTTTGCGATTTTGTCTTAGTGACTTAGTCCTCTTGACTATCCTTAACATTTCACTGATTTAGAAGCTAGTTTTAGAGCTAAAATGCTCTGTGAAATACTTTTAAAGCAAAAATCGAGGAGACACACCTATTACTTTTAAGATTTTCTCCTAAATCAGCAGGTTAGGAGCTACTTTTAGTTTTGCGAATATGGGACCTGGGATTTAGTCTTTACATGTTAGCTAAAGCAGAGTTTCTCAACCCTGTTCCTGAAGGCACACCAACAGCATACATTTTCAAACTCTTCCTAATCAAACAAACCTGAATTAACTCATCAGAACATTTGAAGAGACTCCAAAACCTGAAATGAATGAGTCAGATAAGGGAGACATCCAAAATATGTACTGTTAAAGTGCCTCCAGGAACAGGGTTGGGAAACACTGAGCTAAAGTATACATCATATCAGCATATTAAGCTTATGTAGCATGTTTACATGAAAATACCCCTTCAAAGCTTTCAAAATTCATTATGTATACGCGTGTAAGAACTGCTCTGACCCATGTCTGAACTCAGCCTAAGAAATATATGGAAAAGTGCTTCCAAATATCCATTCAAGTGCTTAAAGCAGGCATCGCAAACTGATTCCACACCACCTGTGCTTGAAAAGCATCTTCTCAGTCAAATGCAAAGTGTGACTGAAAGCATTAATTCAGAATATCCCATATACAGAATCCATAGCATGGGAGGAATTTTGTGCTATCTGTTCACTGAAGATGTTCATTTGCATTCAACTTGCTCTCTGTGAAATGAGTTTTTGTGCTATTTACAGAATCGGCAAGAAGCTCTTAATATGTGGGAGTCGGAACAAAGATACAGCCTCTTTTAGTGTTGTACTGGTCAATAACAACATTTTACTGATACAGATGAGTAATTCACACATGAGAAAAACCTTACTGTTGACGTCTCTCATTTACAGTAAGAACAGACGGTCAGAAAAACAAATCCATGCGTTTAAGATTGTGATGAATCGGTCAACAGCAGAAAGATCGTTTCACCAAAACATGAAAATGTTCTGTTTACTCACGTGTTCTTTGAAAATCATTTAAAATTATTTTTTCCTTCTGTTAAAGACAACTATCAAACAGACTATCATTAATAAAATTGATGTTTTAAAATGTCAATCTGCTAAAAGGACACAAAACACACAAAAGAACTTTCAAATGACATATTATTTTAAGTCTTCTGGTTTTATGTATATGTATGGAGTAGATTAAAATAGAAGTCATTTACTAAATATACTGTCTCAAGTTCTTAAATCTCAATCAAACTTCCCCAAACATTTATTCCTGGCACATCATTATATAGTAAACCCATGAGAACTGAGTTTATGCTCTTTCTATTTTCACATTGCTTTGTGTCATTGTTCCATTATTTTAGGATCTCTTAATTACAAAAACATACAGGGCCAAATAGAGACATTGCATTTTGGAGTCTGCATTAAATTCAATTTTAAAAAGTGACTTTATAGACATAGTGTGAATAACAGGGGAGTTTAACCCCCCTAGTTAACACCTAATCCCCCCTGAAGCATGTCAAAAGATGTGAAGGGAACATGCCCTTTAAATAGTGGAAAATAGTTTGCACTGGTCTGAATTAAAAATAAGTATACTATTTCATAACACTGTCAATGCAGGATTGCACCCAGCAGGGAAAATATTCAGTCAGCGCTCTGAAACGGGTAGATTTAGCCTAACAATAAAAACAGTAATTCTTTAAAAGACACATTTTTTCTTGTAAAATAGGTGTTGTTATATACATATGCTAAAAAAGTAAGTAAAATAGACTCAAAGGGCTCTATTTTATTTATCTAAATGCTCTAAGCCAGTGGTCCCCAACCCCCAGTTCTGTGGGTCAATTGGTACGGGTTTGCATAAGAAATCATTAATTATTTCAGATTTTATTATTATCTAAGCCTGAACGAGCTTTGATTTTGAACAATATTTTATACTGATCAATGACCGTATTTTCTCAGTTACATTTTGGTCACTTGAGTGCCCAAATTAAACCCACAAACTACCAAAATGAGTAAGAAACAGACATCTTTGGAAAGTTTCTTTGCAAAAGGCAAAAGCCCAGTGAAGGACCAATGGACTGCCAAGGAATGAATCCGCAACCCATTTGTCAACAAATCAGGTGAATTCAGCATGTCTGTGCAAGAAGATGATCAACTGCTGAAAATCGCAAATGACCTCAGCCTTTTAGGGGGCGTTTATATATTGCGTCTTTTCCGCGTGCAAGTTTGCTTTTCAAAAGGAGGAAAACATTGGAAGCAACACACTTGCGCCATCTGGATGCACAAACATCTCCTTTCAGAATGCAGAGGGAATGACATGAACTGATAATCAGCTTCATAGTTAAACTACTTAAGAGCAAGTTTTGGATGCACCATAGTGGAAACGGAGCAAGGAAATGGATTTGTTTGTGCTTGAGGCTAAAACATACAATACAGAATGAGCCATATTCCACCAAAGCCCCCAAAGGTGAAGATGGTGTGGGAGGAGGTAACGTTTTTTTTTAATGTTCATGCAGACAATAATCTTATACTTTAATCCATTAATTTTTCTTATTTAAAGATTTTTCTGTGTGTAAAAAGAAATGTGCACAAATCTGTTTACTTTGAA